TATCTACCCAATAGGATGTAGATAAATTAGCCTATCGTTTGGTTCACTCTCCTCTCTGGTCTTCTGAACAGTAGTAGGGATTTGTGTACGATTCCCTGTTTAGGATTTGATTTCCCGTTCCGTCTAAAGTCTATTCATTCGCTTGTGTTTTTCCAATCACCAAAATCTTCACCTCTTCAAGTTTCGAGTTAGCCATTATCTTTCTTGCATAGCCACATGCACTTCCCTACGTGCCCTTCTCACGCTCATACAACCCCACACAGTAAGGGGCTCTTGGGTCTTATATTAGGTGAAAATTAGTAAAAAAAAAAATATATCAAAATATTGTCAATGTCATTTACGCGAAACAGGACAGTCAGATTGAAAGTATATTAATAATATTTAAAAAATACACTGAGCATGTTGAATCGTTTTGTAGACATTGAAAAGAAATATGTACCTCTGCTCGAATATTGATCGCGATTAATACACAAATCCTGAATTTTTTTATTTAATACAACAATATTAAAGGAGCGATGGATAAATTGACGTCTAAAACACGTAAAAAATGAAAATAACACTGCTATCTCATTTTAACAGCGTCCTACATTGGACAACAAGGCCTCTGATCAGAAGGTGTTGAGGAGCGTGGAACCACCTCTTAATTGCTGGTGTTCCCGGGTCCACCCTGACCCGGGGTGGTAGCACCTGGAAGGATCCTAGATATAGTTAAGCCTCATAAACTGGGGTTAAAATACTATGAAAGTATAAATATAGGTTTTTATACTAAAAATACTAGCAATACATTTTTGAAAAAAATTATTACAAGCAATACATTTTTACCATCAATACGTTTTTGAAAAAAATATTACCAGCAGTACATTTTTTTAAAAAATGATTACCAGCAATATATTATTGAAGAAAAATTTTATCGCAGAAGATTTTTGAAAGAAAAAAAAATATTGCCCGCAGTACATTTTTTAAAATTATTACCAGCAATATATTTCTGAAAAAAAAAAAATTACCAGCAATACATGTTTGAAAACATATTACCAGCATTATATTTTTGAAAAAATTAATACCAGCAATACATTTTGAAAAAATTTTACCAGCAATACATTTTTAAAGAAAAAAGAAATTATTGCCAGCAATACATTTTTGAAAAAAAAATTACCAGCAATGATTTTTTTTTTAAATTATTAGCAGCAGGACATTTAAGAAAAAAATGTTACCAGCAATATATTATTAAAGAAAAATATTACCAGCAGTACATTTTTGAAAAAAAAATTACCCGCAATACATTTTTGAAAAAAATATTACCAGTAATAAATTTCTGAAAAAAATATTACCAGTAATAAATTTCTGAAAAAAAAAAATACAAACAACACATATCTGAATAATAATTATTACCAGCGATGCATTTTTTAAAATAAATACACTTTTGAAAAATAAAAAATATTACCAGCAATACATTTTTGCAAAAAATGATAACCAGCGATATATTATTTTAAAAGTATTACCAGCAATATATTGTTGAAGAAAAAATACTGCATGCAGTACACTTTTGAAAAAAAATATTACCATCAATATATTTTTGAAAAAATTTTTTACCAGGAATACATTTTTGAAAAAAAATACATTAAGAGCAATACATTTTTGAAGAAAAAGATTACCGGAAATACATTTCTGAAAAATTACCAGCAACATATTATTTTAAAAAATATTTTACCAGCAATACATTTTTGGAAAAAACGTATTGCTGGCAAAATATTTTACACTCGATAAAAACCTCTTCACAAAAATACATCAATGAAACCTGATCTACAAACTGATATCTTGCAAAGGATGTATATTCTATTCATACGAACCTATACTCAAAATCTTGCCGGCATTAAATAACAAAAGGAGGTTGATATGTCGTAAAACAAACCACACATTTTAACAGATATATTTACCTAAGTTACACAAAATAGTAAAGAGTAAATTTATTCAATAAAATCGCCATTGACTTCAACCACAGTCTCCTGAGTGCTTCGGAATCTCCTGCAACTATTCTGGACGGTCTCCTTGTTTAAGTTGGTGAATGCTGCTATAATCCTTGCCTTCAGTTCATCTATGTTACAAGGATTTTTTTTTCGTCTTTCACTCAACTGCGCTCCACAATTAAGAGACTCTGGAGAGTTAGGTGGCCATATATAAGGAGTGGTGTGGTCGCAGAAATTCTCTGCAAGTGCAGCATCGTGTAGAGTCCTGTTGCCAGATATAGGGTTTTCCAGCAGCCACCCTCTTGACCCAGGGCAGCACTATCTCCTCAAGGCACTTGATATCGACCTCCGTGTTGAGTGTGAGGCCATGTGGGAAGATGAATGGCGGCATAACATCGCCATTACTAGTAATCCCTCCATGTATGTATAGAGGGGTGTATTTGTGTAAAATAATATAATTTTTATTTATTCTCAATTTAAATAGGCAGAATGATAGATAGATAGATAGATAGATAGATAGATAGATAGATAGATATGATATGATAAAATATGGTTTTAAGGCATGCAATATTTTTGGGTTAAAGTTCTCAATATCAGGGATAAAGCATATTTAAATATAAAAGTGGACTTTGAAGCCAACACCCGGAAGCGACAGTCTGTTTTATGTTAAATTCAATCGTCAGACAACTCTGTTTCAATATATATATATATATATATATATATATATATATATATATATATATATATATATATATATATATATGTATATCATTCGTAAACACTGCATCGAAAAAAGTATATATATATATATATATATATATATATATATAATTATCTACATTTTTACTTCAGTTATATCACGATGTTTTTATGTGTTTATGTGTATTTTAGGTGTTTGTCTGCGAAATCCATTTTCTAAAGACCGCTTTATCTACCTTGCCGATTAATTTAGCGGTGATGATTTCAAATAGTGAATTTTGACAAAATTAAGGAAATGGCACTACACAATCTTCCCAAATCCGTTCTGTGAATATGGTGCATGTTACACACTAAGAGGAGCCTATTAAACAATCCTTTATCAATATATCTCTTATGTTTAACCAATCGATTCTAGAAACAGACCAGCAAACTGGCTTTTGCTGCTGTGCTTTTCGTATCAAGATAATTTACAGGCTGGAGTTGCTAGCCACATGCCTAACAACGATCGAAGCCATGATTTTCCTACTCCGAGAACTGTTGCCAACAAAAGCCGGAAAGTCAAGTTTGCTCTCCTGAGGCCTTCTAAATGCACGAGCGTTATTGATTTTTAAACAAAAATTACAGTTATCCCGCTTGATCTTCAAAAACCTTTTTTTAAATAACAGCGTCCGTTTTTAACTTAAAATTTACAATTCTTATTTTCAATCATATTTTCAAACTTAAATGTTATCCTGGGCCTAAATTCAAATAAAAAATCAAACTACAATTCATTTAAATACCTAGCAACAATAATAATCTATCCTAACAATAAAATATCTCGCGATAACCAGAAATAGTAAACAAACGGTTTAACCACAGATTTGCACACGAAGATTGCGAAAAGCATGAAACTCCGTGTTTTGCAATCAATTAGGGTTATATATATATATATATATATATATATATATATATATATATATATATATATATATATATATATATATATATATATATATATAAGTCAGTATATGAAAGTATGTGTCTCAAGTCTTTGTTATTTTCTGATTATAGTATATACATATCTATATGCATTATGCTACATATAATTATATTTTGATTTTTTTATTTCAATGCGCACACACTGTCGATATTCGTGGACAGTCATTTTTTTAAAGGCTGCCTTTTCCTGACAGAACTGTTAAAATCTTTCCTTGGGATTTCATTCCAAACGAACCACTGTCGTAGAACAATACAGAGCAAGGAACCTCTCCTTTGCAGTTTACAATCTTTACCGAACCGAAAATACAGCCAACCAACCCACTAACCAACCAACCATGAGCGTCCAACATCGAAATACATATTATCACTTCTTCGTCATCTGAAGACTAAGCATAATCCCTAATACCATCACTGGCACCCCACCAGAATTTTCTTCTGTAAATAACAAAAAAAAAATAGAAGAAATATCTTGCTTCCTTCTGACTATTTCTTTTACAACAACTACCTACATCCTCTCCTTGGTGGGTTGCGCTTGTCGTCTCGCTTGCGTTTTCACACCCAACCTGATCTCCATTTACTTTTTTCTCTACTCTGACTCCATCACACTGTTGACGGTTAGACAGAATTAGTCCCTTCAGCGCGCATCGCTCCGTGTGTCGCTGTTCTCGATCGGTTTAAAAATATGGAGTGTGGGACTGGAACGAAACGCAATTTCAGAAAATAATTCGCCAGTGTCTGTGAAAACATAGTGGAGGCTTGTGCAAAACGGTGGGGAATAAGAGCGTATAGGCCAGCTTCTGCGTAGGAGAGATAAAATAACAACGTGGCTGAAAAGGCGAAAATGAATGACAGCCAAAGAAAAAGACAGTTATAATTGAACAGGGATATAAAAAGAAAAAAGAAAGAAAGAAAGAAAAAAAACGAACGAATGAACAAGGAAAAAAGGATGAAAAAGTGAATTAATAGCGGGGTGGGGTGCTGAAAATTTCCTAAAATGACAATTTCGGTGACAAAATATCAGGATACTGACTTTGGGAATTGATTCCGTTCGAGAATTTTATGCTATCCACTTGTATAGCGAAAAACAAATATAAGATTGATTGATTTGTTTTTTACGGGTTATCAAGCCTTTTCAGGTTAGTTAAAGTCAGAAAATATTTTTAGATTCTAAGATTTTTATATATATATAATAATGTCTTAGTTATATAAATCTTACTAATTATCTGGTAGTGGGGAGTAGAAGTGTATTCATATCCTTTCCTAAGGGTATTTGCTCGTAAGTGAATAAAGAATTCAACTGCCGACTCACCGATTAAAAATTACGAACAATTATCCATAACTCTAGGTGTACATCCATACTTACAGCGCGTGGTATTCACAAGCGGTTATCCATCTAGGTACTGACCAGGCTTGGCATTTCTTAACTTCGGGGATCGTAGGGGAACCGGTACTGCAGCATGATATAGCCTTAATTTCCCAAATATAAAGTAGACATAATCTCGGTTTCTATGATAGCTCTGTTTGCGTTTAGTTTCCCATTTCGGCTTTCTTTATAATATAGACATTGCATACAACTATATTTTGTTGTGGTTTTCCTCTATTTGCAGGCTTGGTGTTGGTACGTCTTCATCACCTCTTTCTTTGTTTACTCTCTCTCTCTTTCTCTCTCTCTACATATATATATATATATATATATATATATATATATATATATATATATATATATAAAAAAACACACGAGGCATCTTTGAATGGTTCTCGGACTGTATGTGCTTTGATTGTACCATCCATGGTTTTAAGACGGTAGGCTTTGTGCGATAAACACGGATTTACTTATTAAGCTATATTTTGTTTGTTGTAATACATCAGCAACCTCATATATATATATATATATATATATATATATATATATATATATTGTGTGTTTAAAATGCGATTCAGATATCATTTCTGTTGTGGATTCCGGGATGAAATCCGGTCTCAAATGAATGACAAACACAGGAATGAAATATAACAAATAAGTGTATTGACGTAATAGTACAATTGGTAATAGTAGATCCAGAAATGCGGTTAGTATCAATAATAATATATATACAGTCTGGGAAATTCAGTATTGAAGTAGGACTTCCTTCTGAGTCTACGTGCTCGCAACTGTGACTCCTACAAAGAGGTTACCTCACACTCTTACTCTCTCAGTGTATCACTGTATCAGTGTATCTCTCCGTTAATCTCGGGTATTCAACGGTAGCAGTACAAGTACACACTGGTCGAGTCCACTTGTATGAAAAAGGGGTGGACCCCATAACAATTTCAGATACATTTTGAACTAACCTCGTAACTTTAATAGAAGCGCTCAACTGTGATTTATCTTAAAACTATGCTAAGTCGACCTTAATTACAGAAGAGAGAGAGAGAGAGAGAGAGAGAGAGAGAGAGAGAGAGGCGGGGGTAAAAAAATCTGGTTTGATCGGCAGTATAAGTATGAAGTCACAAGTGACCTCGCCGAGGATTGGAGAATTTTTAAATTCTGTGTTGTGCTCAAGTCCTCGGCGAGATCACTCATGACTTCGTATTTATACAGCTATCGACGCCTTGTGAACTATTTCATATACCCTGTGTCACCTCCATAGCTTGGGTGTACCTGTAGCATGATATTCAGGCAATTACCAACGTTCTTGAACGCTGTGATCATTTTCCAATGTTGATATTATGAAGAAGACGCTTCATTGAACAATCGAACACTAGTCTCATGGTCTAAACCCTAACATTCTAACAACCCCACCACACCCCAACTTAATAATAGAGTAAATACAATGGGATTACTAATCACAAGATCGAACATTATGCCATGAGAAAATAACATCATAAATCTGTCAAAACCTCTGAAACTATTGCACATTTATTATTGCATTCATTTTATTTGTTCACATATATAGATGTTCGACATTTTACTTGCAACATCATCACTTGACAAGACACCAGAAGTGTTGAAACAAAATGGCTATTTTTGTAGTAATGTTATAACATACTTATGTTTCAATTTTTAAATAAATATAAATGTAGATGTTACAGTGTTTGGCACAATGTTCTTTTCTTTGCTACAGAAGAATTAAAGCAAAACTGTCTTGTTTGCTTGTTCCAGTTTTCAAGTCTCAATATAAGGCCAGGCTTTTAAATGGTGTTTTCAATAAACAAGATCTCCGTAGTAAGAGTGACGTAATTCTCTTTTGCTGATTTTATGTTGAACTGGAATTAAAGAATAAGTTTTTTAACAAGATTCGATCATTCATATTTTGATTCACATGCACAAATTTTACTATCTATCATCTAATGACAAACATGGAGTTGGAATAAAAATGTTAAATAAAGAAATCCAAGTTAAAAATTAACATTATTAGCCGGCTCGAAAAGTACTTACGTTTTACGACAAAAGGCTATATATTTATAAAAGGTAAGTAAAATGTATTTAGATATTATTAATAAAAAAATATAACCGTCTATATTGTCAATGACTGCATCCCAACGAAAAGAAAAAAAATATGCGATTCCACGTTTAAAAACTCTGGACTTTTTTCCGGAAAAATAAATGAAAGGGTGTTTTCAACTTCTTTTTTTTCTGAATGTTATTAATTGTATAAAATATCAAATGAAACATAAAACCTGTAGGTGCTAAATCCGGTATATATGGTTGATGCTCAAGAATCTCCCATTTTAACGTGTGTTGGCTTCGTTCTATTGATTGCGACCTACCATTGTCATGCTGGATAATAAAATTTTCCCTTTTTACAAAAGGAGGAGAGTTTCAACTGCTTACGAGATCATTTTGATGGTATCAAAAGGCTTCAGTGGTGCTCCTTCAAAAGACCCTAACAGTCAACACCTTTCATATTCCACCAGACACAATCAAGGAATACTGGGAGTAGAACCCTTTTTTTGGTATAGATACTAGCTTCTCATTTTATGATATCCACGATATTTGAAATTTTTCTGTTGGCATGCAAAACCCATTTTTCATTACGTGTAAAATCTGTCTATATATTTCTGAGATTAGGTATTATGCGCTCTATTTACATTATGCGGACTACTGTCTTCCTATTTGTTGCCATATTTATCACAACGTTTCGGCCGTTGTACGCTCTGGCTTTCTTCAGGTGGTTGGAATGTCGAACTGAACCCTTTATTTCGCTCGCTGGGGTAGACTGTTCTAGTTCCACGTGCCATGTCTAATGGATGTCATTTTACCTCAGTATAACACGAGAACTAAGCAAAGTTTAATAAAGATTCTTTTTATCGACCGTTGACAAACAAACTTATATTTCCTCTTTGTTACTATTGCCTATACTTAAGTAAGTTATGCAAAGAAAATAAATGTAAGATTAAAATAATCGCGTCATATATGGAGGTGCAAAATAGAATGAAGGACTGTGTGGAACGAATAAGTGGACTAAACCGTTAACAAAATAATGTAATGACGCAAATAAAAATAAGACAGGAAATAGGAATCTGGTATTCTCGAAAGAAGCAAGATTTGTTTTGAAGGAAACAAATAAAGGACATATACGAAAACAAATGAGGGAAAATAAGGATTTTGAATAAAAAAAAAAGACCTTAAACCCAGTTCTCAAACCCTGTTAAGTCAATATAACAACCAAGAAAATGAACACTAGACGGTTATTGGTTAAAGAGAAGCCGGAAAAATGTTAGATAAATATAATGAAAACAAAATGAAAAAAAATCCGATGCCTTTCTCTAAATAGAAATGAAACAGAAAACAGAGAGAAGATAACATTTTAACATAAAATTCATAAGAAACTATCAGTAAAATATACACACACAACTATGAACGATTTCAAACCTTTTTTTTCTGTCTAACACGAATATGCACAACTTATAATTCTCTGTACCTAGATATCAGAAGAGCAAATTCTATGGAAAAATAGTCCAAATTTCAGAATGTTTTGCATTTAGTTTTCAAATACATAACCGATTATCACCTTTCTTCAGTACAACTTGTATTTTACTAAATATCACCCACTACAAGGCTGGAGAGTCACTCAAGGTAAAAGCAAAGTCGAAATAGTAATGATGAGAGGGGTGTATAATATGGAAAGGAATGTGGTAGGAAGTGGTGATTAGGTGGAGTAGGAGATTAGGTAACGACCTGATATTGACTTGAAGAGCTACAGATTAAAGTGCTCAAGGAAGTAAACATGCAGGAGTCTGCAACATAAAGTGGCAGTTCTTGGTGAAAAACTGACCGAGTGGAACTACCTTCTTATATCTAGACCACAGAGGATATAAGTGTTGTTCGGCTGCGTGGGAATATAATGGCGTGTGCGAGATGTGAAGTGGTGGAAGAAAAGATTGTAAAAAGTTACAGAATACTAATATCTTTATTAATACATGTTAACATATTGAAAGCAATTTCTAGTTGATTTGTGGAGAATTCTTGCTGAAATTCGTTTTTTAAAGGATACAGGGTACAGTCATTCGTTTTTTAAAGGATAAAGGGTACAGTCATTCGTGTTTTTAAAGGATACAGGAAACAGCTTGTTGGTTTTTGTTTATTTTTTTTGTTTTTATTTTGCAAAGTCATGTTTTACTCATATAGTTTAGTGAATGTTTGACAATCTTCACACAGATGAAGAAGAAACTTGAACCTACAGAAATTTGGTTCTATAAAATGATGCTGAGAATATCTTGAATCTGAGAATGATACAATGGAAAATAAATATTTATACTTAACATCAACAAAAGACAGTTGAAATTTCTATGGCACATAATAAGAAAAGGGGCTCAGAAAATTTGGTACCCACAAGAAGCATTGACGGCAAGAACATAGGAGAACAACGCATAAAATAACTGGTGATCTTGAGTAAATGTATGACAGATAAGGGTTTGGGAGAGATAGCAATATATATATATACAAATGAGAGGAATTCGGGGAGAGCCATGACCGTAAACCTCCTGAAGAGACATAGCACATAGACAAGAAGATTGAATTGATATGCAGGGTTTTTTTTTAAATCATACAAACATTGTGACACAAGATATAAAATGTGAATAAGGGAAGTTGTTTTTTTGAAAGTAATATATTTAAATTTATCTGGTCTCAATCACGGACAACGGACCTATTCCCAAATTAATGTTCCTTCCACCAAAATACCACATCTCAGTCATACTACAAACACCCTGATGGCACAATTCTCCCAAGTGGTCATAACTAATCCCATATGTACTTTTATTTCTAGTGACTGGGATGCTAATAATAACACAATTAAACCTGCCCCAAATACAGATTTGCATTGACAAAACATATTTAAAAGAAACAATATAAAGATTAGTATTATTTTCAGAAAGCATCTCACGATCAAAATCGTGGCAGAAATAACATTTAACTAGACGATAAAGTGCGGGACTGAATCAGTAAAATAAATTACTCATATAGACAGTTATATAATGAAGGAC